TCACAATTTTTTGTAAAGATGGCTATGAAACATCTTAAAAGATGTTCAATATCACTAATAATTAGGGAAATGAAAATTAAAACCACTTTAAGATTTCATCTTACCCCAGTCAGACTGGCTAAGATCAAGAGAACAAATGATACCAAATGTTGGAGAGGATGTGGGGAAAGGGGAACACTCATCCACTGCTGGTGGGGCTGCAAACTTGTTCAACCCCTATGGAAAGCAGTGTGGAGAACTCTTAAAAAATTACAAATGAACCTACCATTTGACCCAGGTATACCACTCCTTGGCATATACCCAAAGAACTTATCCTATTGCAGAGACACTTGTACATCCATGTTTGTTGCTGCCCTTTTCACAATAGCTAAGAGATGGAAGCAACCTAAGTGTCCCTCAATTGATGAGTGGTTAATGAAAATGTGGTTCATTTATATGATGGAATTTTACTCAGCAATAAAGAAAGATGAAATCATGAAATTTTCAGGTAAATGGATGGAACTAGAAACTGTTATACTAAGTGGAGTAACAGGCTCAGAAAAAAAATCAACATACGTTCTCCCTTATATGTGGTTTCTAGAACCAAACCCTGATAAGTGAGTATGTATCCAGACATAACTACAGGAACCAGGATAATGAAAAGGAAACAGGTAGGTAACGGAAAAGAAAGAACCTGAAAGAGAAGAACAATAGGAAACAGGCCTTAATAAGGTAGATAGAGACAAAAATTGGATTAGTTTAAGGGAGGGGGAAGGGAAGGGTATACAAGGAACCTAGGGGATAAGTGGAAAGAAGGAACTCAAGAGAGGTAGGACCATAGGAGAAGTGTATTATTAAGGAAGATAGGGGGAAAATGGGGGCACCTTAAGTGGGAAAACTATGGTGGAGGGGTGAGACAATGTGAGAGATAAATCATGCTTAGCTAGTTTTGAAAACTAGAGGGAACCATATCACTCCTACAACCTACTGACAAATTATACATAGCAGATCAAGAAATATATGCCTAGGTAAGGTTTATCTGAGAACAAATGGTCTTTACCCAAGATTTATCTACAGGACACACAGTAATTAAAAGTAGCAGACTGGTGGAACTAACCTTCTTGGATGTTTAACAGACATACTTTGAGGCCTATACTAATTTGGTAAGAGGGACACAAAGGACAGTTTTTGCTCCTTCCCCTCCCAGGTCAACTAGTTCCATGGGACTATGAGCATCTCTCAAAATGTCCTGTAATTGTGGTGGGTCACCTGTCCTCTTGATCAAGGAGGCCAAGGACACCCCACCAGATGGACTTGAACCAGTGTCCAGTCTACAAAGAAGAGGGTCAACACAGAGGAATCACTTCCTCCATGCTTCCAAGCGAAGCCAACCATGGTCAAGTAGGACCTTTGACTTATCTTCACATAGGCAGAACTGGTAAAAGAAAGGAGCCAGGGGCTCCTCCCAAGCTCATGTGACCCCTGAGGAACAGGTCCTCAAATGACCTTAAGAATGAAAATAAATTGCTTTATCAAGGCCAACTGTATGGCCTTAAATGCCCAAAAGGAAAGTGTAACCAAAGATTAAAGGGGCCAATATAATTTCTTAAGAGTCCATATGAATAGCTAAAGGCTACATAACAAGCAACAATGCCAGATAGGAGATACCTTCTTTTGTGTTGTTGGCCAGGGTGACCAAAGGGACTCCCAAAGAGTAACCTAGCATAGAACTGGGAAAATGAACAGCAGACCCTAATCTTATCTGGGAATGGCTGGGGGTGCTGACAACACAGCAGACAGTAGCAGGGATATCAGAGCATAAGGGCTCTAGTGGGGGAGGGAGGCTATGGGAGAGTGCCAACTGGGAAGTGGGTGTATAGCTGAATAAGATGGTTTGGGATGTTTTGTGTGATACACACACACACACACACACACAATCAGCAAACTAAAAAAGTGTATTATATTTGAGGTGGAAGCATACAAATTTATGTCATGTTAATTAGTAGAGGTGATAAACATTACCATTGAAATCTACCCGACGACTTTATAGACATACACAGGCGCCAAGGATCCAAGTGCAACTGATACTTCATAGACATACACAGGCGCCAAGGGTCCAAGTGCCACCGATTATGACTACTAATAATTAGAGATACATGGGCCCACATCTCAGTGTTAGTAGCAAAAACAATGAGTCTCTGCAAGGAACAATATATTCTAAAGTGAAAAAAAAAAAAAGTACATCAAGGCCAAGATAACACTGTGTGATGCATAGTCAACGTTCCATAAACACCTCCGTGCATGTGTACAGCAGTTCACTGGCAACCTTTCATGAGGTTCTGAAGGAACTGGAGCTGCAGGGTGGGTCCCAGCATCCCAGGTCCTTGCCCTCCTGACCTCTCAAGCTCCAGGATAAAGAGCCTGCAGCGCAGCTCACGACCCCAGAGTGGAGAAAAGCCTGGTTGTCGAGAACCAAGGCTGGGGAAGCTAAGAGAAAGAGCCTCCAAGGAAGAATGGGTCCCAGAACCCGGACTGTCTAGTCTGGGTCACCCAGAGCCATGGCCACTCTTCCCAGGATGAGAGAACAATGCGCCCAGCCCTGCCCTGGAGCGACCGAGCCTCGCCCAAGTGGCTTCCGCAGCCTGCCGGGAAATGTAGTGTTTGAAGTACCTATCCACGCCACCGCGGACTGCCCAGGCGCCACGCCCAACTACAAATCCCGTCACGCCCTGCGAGGCCCGCTTGCCAGCTCTTGCCGGAAGGGAGCACGGCAGACATGGCCGAGGACCCGCAGGGCGGTGGTGCGGGTGCCCGGCGGCTCCTCTCCTCGGGTGCCAGCCGTGCCAGCTTTCCGGAGTTCGAGCTTCCCGAGCTGCACACGCGCGCCTTCCACGTGGGAGCCTTCGGGGAACTGTGGCGCGGCAGGCTTGGGGCCGGGGACTTGTCGCTGAGCGAGTCGCCGGCAGCCGCACCGCCCGACCCCGGCCAGGAGGATGCTGCGGTGGCCAGGGATCTGGGCTGCAGCCTGGAGGCAGCGGCCGAGCTGAGAGCGGTGTGCGGGTGAGTGCGCAGCCCAGGGGTTCAGCTTCGCCCCTGCGCTCCCGGGACCCTTGGGTGAGGGCCTACGGTTTACACTTGACCTCCTCTTCGGAACCCCGGAAGAGGTCCTGGGTTCCGAATGTGCAATTTCTGAAAGTAAAGGGACATGGCAGCTGCATAAAAGACTTTTATGTTCGCTGAGGTTTAAGGCGCTTGTTGGCGTAACTGGTATATTAGCTGTTGACACTTTGACAGTTGAAGTACCTGGCTGAGGCTGAAGGAGACAATCAGAGCATCGTTAAAACGCCGATTAACCTCGGTCTTGGGGGTCCTGGTGGGTATGTTACTTAAATTTCCCCGAAAGTGCTTTTCGTGGGGGTGAAAATATGAAACTAACTTGCAGTAGTCTTTCTCCATTTCACAGTCCTCAAGCGAACATCCTTTTCGTTATAAAATATTGGCACAGAAGCCATTGTCTGGAATTCTGGCCTCCTCTCCTCTAACCCGTCGGATGGATTTCATCTGACTTAATTATTCAACGGCGTATTTAGAACAAGCTCCGACTCGCTGTACGCAAAATGTGTGGCTGACTGTAAAGTTTTGCTTTTTTTTAAGCCTTGATAAGTTGAGATGCCTTGAAGAAGGTGAAGATCCGGAAGTCATCCCAGAGGACACGGACCTGATGACTTTATGGTATGATGATGTTGTTTGTTATATGGTTTATTTATTTTATTTTTTGGATGCTGAAGAAGAAGCATGCTGCCTACCACTGAACTACACTGCAAGCCTCCGTGCTATTTTTTTTTTAAATATTTTTATATGTGTATGAGTGTATTGCCTGAATGTATGTAAGTGCACCCCTGTCATGCCATGCCTGCAGAGGTCAGAAGAGGTTGTCAGATCCCCTGGAACTGGAGTTATGGACAGTTGTTAGCTACCATGTGGGTGCTGGGAACTGAACCCAGGTCCTCTGCAAGAGCAGCCAGCACTCAACCACTGAGCCAGTTCTCCAGCATCCCCGCCACCTCCCCTCCCACATATCAAAAAATATTTATTATTTTTGTGTGTATGAGTGTATTGGTTGCATGTGCCTAAGTGCACCCGTGTTGTGCAATGCCTGAGGAGGTCAGAAGAAGGTGTTGTAGCCCCTGGAACTGAAGTTAAAGACAATTGTTAGGTGCCATGTGGGTGCTGGGAATCAAACCTGGGTCCTTTGCAAGAGCAGGCAGTACTCTGAACCACTGAGCCATCTCTTCAGCCCCCCCCCCATTTATCTGAACAATTTTTTCACATTGTACTTTGAAAGTTAAGAGTATAGGGGCTGGAAAGATGGCTCAGCAGTTAAGAGTACTGACTGCTCTTGCAGAGGACCCGTGTTCGAGTCCCAGCACCCACATAGCAGCTAGTTTCAGGGGAACCAGAAGCCCTCTTCTGACCTCCGCAGCATTGCATGACACAGGTACACTCACATGCAGGCAATACATTCATACACATAAAGTAAAAATAATAAATAAAAAATAATAAGAGTATAGTATTGTTCTCCACATAGTCCACTTAAATTCAACTGTTGAGCATGGTGTGGTGGTTCATGGCTGTAATCCCAGCATGCAGCAGATTGCATGGTGAGTTCCAGGCCAGCCTGGGCTTCAGAGTAAGAGCCTTTTCAACGGTGACTGATGACTGTTGTGTTTGTTTGTTTGCTTAATGTTTGGACTTACTTGCTTTAGCTCTGTGAGTATGGGTTGGATCCCTGGAGCCCATATTGGGGAAGTAGAAAACTGACTCCTTTGTCTTCCATCCAACTGTTGGCATACATGCTCATACACACACACACACACACACACACACACACACAATAACAATACAAATAAAATGCTGGGCATGCTGGCACTCACCTTTAATCCCAGTACTTGGGAGCTAGATAGGTGGATCTCTGAGAGATCAAGGCCGGCCTGATCTACATAGTGAGTTCCAGGCCAGCTGGGGCTACAGGGAGACCTTGCCCCCCCTCCCAATCCAAGTAAAATAGAAAAAAGATAAGACACAAAATTAATACATAGACATCAATAACCTTCATATGTACAGCAATAAAATGAAACAACATAGTAGCAAAAATTCCATTTACAATAGACTAAAGGAAGGTTAGATACTCAGGAATAGGTTTAATAAGAAATTATGTGAGGAAAATTTTAATACAGTCTTCAAAGAGTCAGAAGACTTGTTCTTGAGTAGCAAGATTAAACATGAGTCAGTTCTTCCTAATACAATGTAACTGCAATAAGGTATTGATGAAAGTGTTGATTATTTTATGGAGTTACACAAGCTGATAATAAAGGTTTTGGGAGGAGGGTGTATATACATGGATGTATTGCCTGCACCAATGTGTTCAATGTCCGGGGAGACCAGAAGAGGGCCTCAGAACCCCTGGAACTGGACTTACAGATGGAGATGGCTGTTAGCCTCCATGTGGGGGCTGGGAACCAAACCTGGGTCCTTTGGAAGAGCAACAAGTGCTCTTAACTGCTGATCCATTTCTCCAGCCCCAATAATAAAGTTAGTAGGGAAAATCACACACCAGAATGGCTAGGAAGACTGTAGGTATGAGTAGTGACAGGGAGCAATAGTTTTATCAGATAGTAAATGTACTTGGAGTGATCTCAGCATAGTGTACATTCCTATAGTCCCAGCACTTAGGAGGTGGAACAGAAGGAAGATCAGGAGTTCAAGGTCATCCTTCAAGTTAATTAAAACAGGAATATCTCATGAATAGATAAGTACAGCAATGAAACAGAATAGAAAATCATAAATACATAGCGATATTTTGTATAATTCTGTACCTGAGATAATAAACTCCAAAGATCAAAATGTAGAGAAGGAAGCATACAGATTTGGGTACAGTAAAACTGACACTCAAATTTACAGAAAGTGGAGAGAAAATGATAAAATGTTTATATGACAGAAGCACTATAAATAATGCCAAAAGGTAGCCTGTGAGTTTGGAGTATTTACCACAAAGAGCTACATACAAAAACTGTTCAAAGTTGAGGCACAAACCAGGTGTGGTGGTACAGGTCTTTAATCCCAGAACTGCTTTTACAGAAGATGAGTTTGGTTCCCACCACCAACATCTGGCAGCTCACACCTGTAAGTCCAGCTCCAGGAGATCTGACACCCTTTTCTAGACTCCATGGACACCTGCACTCAGATGCACATGCCCACACAGAGACACATACACATACTTAAAAATGAAGTAAATCTTTAAAAAAGAAAAAAAAAAAAAAAAAAAAAAAAAAGAACAGGGCAAACCTGGTGTGGTGCACACCTTTAATCCCAGCACTCAGGAGGCAGAGGCAGAGGCAGGTGGATCTCCCTGAGATCAAGTCCAGCTTGGTTTACATAGCGAGTTTCAGGTCAGCTAGGGCTACAGGGAGACCTGTCTTAACAACAACAACAAAAAAACACCCCCCCCCCACAAAAACAGCGTAGATGGCTTCTGAGAACACCCAAGAGTGTTCTGGCATCTACACACATACACACACACACAAACACATGCTTGATTATAAACAAAGAATATGAGGCCATGCATTGTCATACTGCTTTTTTTTTGCACAGGATCTCACCAGGCTGACCTTATACTCATGGTCTTCCTGCCTTAGCCTCGAAGTGCAGGATGTGAGATGTGAGCCACTGTGTGCACTTTGCAAGGTATCTATTATATCTTAAATACATGTACAGGAGAGGAGAGTATTCAGCACACATGGTAAATCCACACGATGGAATATCCTAAGCTATAGTAAAGGCTGATGAAGGGTGAATTCAGTGATTTCCAAGATATGTTAGTGAACAAACAGAGCACATGCTAACCTGTGAGAGGTGTGCTAGGTATAATTCATTCCCCCTTATCTACAAACTTACCTATTTCTTTATCTGTTCTGTAAAAATGAACCTTAACCTTTTAAATATTTTTCTTTGTGAATTGACACTCATTAAGCAGTGTAAGTAAAGGTCAGTGGAGAGACCTTGTAGTGCCTGAGGTAAGGCTGTGCCTCCTGTTCTGAAATGCTGACTCAGCAGAACCCCTTCGTGCAGACAGCCTTCCCAGCGCCAGTGCCAGAGCCTGCAATGCAGGCCCTCACACCCATTGCCCAGCAGCTTTCCCAGCATCCACTTCCCTCAAGGTCTGACTTCCACTACAGCAGCATTTCTGCCACTCAGCAAAGTCTAGGCAGACTCTCTATAACTGCCTGGGTCTCCGTGTGGAGGGAGAAGGGAATTCCCTGGGCAATTTTTCTCAGCCCTAGGAGTAGGATGCCCTTTACATCTGCTGTTATCATACAGTAGTTAGAGTTCCTTTTATTGCTTCTCTGCCAGTGAGTGCCTCATTGCTCCAATCCTATGTTGAAGTTGGTCATTTTAAAAGAAAACCAACAAAAGAAAACCAAAGGATTTTACCAGACTGTCAAGGAGCCCACTGTGTAGTCCAGGCTGGCTGGTCTCAAACTCACAATGATCCTCTTGTCTCCCAAGTGCTGAGATTAAACCATCACTCCCAGAAATAAAGTTCTTCAGATTAAGCTTTCTCCATTCAAATTACTGTTCTGTTCTCATAACTGACCTCAGACTGATACAGGAGATAAATGTACAAGTATCTGTTGACTTGAACAGAAGAAGCCTGGTAAACAACTATAGAGAGGGGTTGTCTGCAGGGGTTCAGTGGGTGGGAAAGGGGCAGAAAGAAGCGAAGGACAGAGTAGATCAGTAGGGACCGAAAGGGCATGCCACTCTTGACTCTTGAGCCATAGTAGCATTTCTCACTGTCATTCACGTGTCCCAGAAGTAGTCAGACGACACCAGCCAGAATGCTAGTGGATCAGGCCAAAATAGAACACAAAAACTAAGTGTGCCCAGATGTTTTACAAATATATAACATAAGAGCACTGAAGAAGATGGGAAGAAAGAACTAACTTTAAGTCTATATCTTGATAGTAATACGAGGCTGAGGAAGACAGAATATTTATAAGCTAATGTTTATCACAGGATGGAAGGTCAGCAATTCTGAAACTGCTTTATGTATTTATTAGACTTGAATGAATAATAGGGTACCAATCTTGAGAGTTGGTTTTCTTACTTGTGGAAAGAGAATGAGAAACTGAACATTAAAGAATCATGTGGTTTGAGTTTGGAGAAATCCATATAGTGGTCTGGGATGATGATTCAGTCACTCAGTGCTAACTTGAGGACTGTGGTGGATCCCCAGCATCCATTGAGGGGCAGGGGTACAAGTCTATAATCTCAGCACAGAGGAAGCAGAAAGAGGAGGATTCTGGGAGCTTGCTGACCAGCTAGTCTAGCTGAATCAGTGAGCTTCAGATTCAGGATCAGACCCTGTCTCCAAAAAACAAGGTGGAGCCAGGTGTGGCGTACCTTTAAACCCAGCACTTGGAGGCAGAGGCAGGTGGAGTTCTGTGAGTTCAAGGCTGTCCTACATAGCAAGTTCTAGGCTAGTCAGGGCTGTATAGTGAGACCTTGTCTCAAAAACATGGAAAAAGGTAGAGCTAGACATCCATTGTCAACCCCTGCCTCCATATGCATACACCTTTGTGTGCATGTGCCCGTACATGTATATACTACATCCACAACAAAGTATCCATATAACAGTAAATATATAACAGAATGTGCATGGGCTATTGTCTATGTTTTGCCTGTCTCAGCTGGGAAGATTAGAAGCAATAAGTCCAATAATAATAACACACAGTGTCAGGATATTGGTTTCAAAATCTCTCCAATTCAGGCTTGATAGTACAAATCTATAATCATAGCACTTGGGCGGTAGAAACAAGAGGATCAGGATCAAGATCATCCCCTGCTACATAGTGAGTTTGAGACCAGCCTGGGCTACATGAGACCTTATCTCAAAGCAACAATAAAGGAACTCAGGTTCCTAGAATGGTTGATGCCAGGGGTTTGGATAGGAAAAGTACAGGATGAGCCTCCAATGTCTTGTGGTTCCACAAAATAAGGAGTGCATGCCTCCCTCCCCTACCACCCTCCCCTACCAAAAACTAATAAAAGATCAGAGCCTGTTGAATGCCCAGGAACCAACTTGGAGTGCCTTATGACTAAAGCTAGAACAATTTGAGCAGGAAAATAATGAATAGATTTAGACTTAACTCCTGGAATCAATGAGTTTGAGTGAGTTTGTACTGATATAAATGATCAGATACACAAATGGATTCTAGTGAAGAGAGAATCACTATTAGGCATTTACCACAGTAATAAATGTTATAGGGAAAAAGTCTCTTTCTAGTAGAGGAACTTGGCAAACAAACTTAACTGAGCAAGCATCATCAATAATGTGACATCAGAAACTTGAAGGATGCTGCACCAAGTGTGCTGCTGCTTTGCAAAATGCTGTTTACAGCATTCACAAGGAAACTGCAGTCACTCAAAGGACATTCTGTCAACTAGCACTCTTCTACAGCGTCAGGATCGTAAAAGACAAGAAGACGAGAAACTAATGGGCTTGAAGAGACAAAGGAAAAATAACCAATACTGCACGGGTAAGATTCTAGGAAGGAATCTGGAACAGAAAAAAAGAACAGAAAGCAGTAAATTAAAAGTTATGTGAACTCTAGAAAACATCTATAATTAATAACCATTGTGCTCGTATTAATTACTGTTCTTCATAATTCTGTGATCATAGAAGAGTTAGAGGAATCTGGGCAAGAGATAAAGGTGTGTTCTTGGTTCTGTTTTTATAACTTTAAGTTTTAAAGTAGTCCAAAATAAAAACTTAAAAGGTTGGGCCTAGTTAATGTAGCTCACTAGTAGAGTGTTTGCCTTCTGTGTTGAGATTTTTGGTTTGATTCCTAGGATTGAGAACAACAAACAGAACTACCAAAAAGTTAAATATTAAAGACATTTTAAGTAAGCTTTCAGTAAAGAATGTTGACCTTGTGCAGGTCTGATGGTGCCCACCTTTAATCCCAGGGCTCAGTAGACCAAGGCAGGGGCATCTCTGAGTTCTAGGCCAGTATGGGCTGCATGAGTGAGTTTCAGCCCAGCCAGAGCTACGTAATAAGATCCTGACTTAGAGTGTTGACTGTTTTATTTTTCTTGTGTTTACAACAGTATTAGGAAGGGGCTCCTGGAATATCGGGAAGAAACCATTACAATAGATCGAGCCTGCAGACAAGAAACATTTGCTTATGAAATGGTAAGAGTCTCATCTTCCCATGCTTCTCCATGAAACTGTAAGCTGAGTGTGCCATTGACTGAGTGTGACTGAACTACTTGGAGAAAATGACCTGCAGTACTCAAGTGACCACTCTTTCAGACCTTTGATTTTTTTTTTTTTCTCTTAGTTTGGTTTCTCATGTCAGTGTTAAACTAAATTTATCCCTGTTTACCATCCTATTCCTGTTTTTTTGTTGTTCTGATTTTACTTTAACTGTATTCTTAATTGATTACTTCTTGTGTAAAACCCTAAGACAAGTGAAGAGTGTTAAGGAATCGGGAGCTAGTAGACATGATGATGGCTTCCAAAGCAGCATATGTCAGACACTGCTGGGTGCCTCATAGTGCAAATCGTGGTGGCACATGCCCTTAATCCCAGTATTCAGGAAGCAGAGGCAGGCGGATCTCTGTGATTTCCAGGCCAGCCTGGTCTATATATGAGACTGTCTCAAAATAACAACAAACAAATTGTGGTAGAACTACATAACAAAATATTATTTTGCCTGGGCATGGTACATGCCTGTAGTATCAGCAATCAGGAAGGAGACAGGCAAGAAGATCCCTATAATTTTCACACCAGTGTGGTCTGCATAGCAAGGCCCTTGGAGGGTAGGATATAGGGGTAGAATACACTCATACACTCAGTACATTTTGTATTAATACTTGTTTGAAAGTGCCCTTATATAACCCTGTATTATGTACTGTGAATTGCAGCAATGAAAATTTAAAAACTAAAAGAAAATGAAAATATTTTTGCACATTTTTAAGGGTTTGATAAAGTAATGTTGAGGCTGGCAAAGTGGCAGAGTGGGTAAAGGCAGCTGCCACCAAGTCTGATAGGTTGATGAGGAATCCACGTGGTAGAGGGAGAGAATTGCAGCCTACAGATTGTCCCCTGACCGCTACCTAGGCATGTGCTCAGCCACACATATACATACACGTATACACACACAAATAAAAATAAATATAATTGTTAAAAAAATTTAAGTGACATTAGGTACATTCATAATGATGTTTAGCAATCATCATTATTTCTAGAACTTTTTCATTATACCAGACAGAAATTCTATACCCAGGAAGGAATAACTCCTAAGTGTCCTTTCCCGGTCCCCTCAGGTCTACTTTCTCTCTGTATGACCTTACCTGTTCTAAATATCCCATGTAAATAGAATATACAAGATCTTTCTTTTTCTATGACTTTGTTTAATGTAAAGTTTAAAGGTTTTTCCATGTTGTAGCATGGATTAGAACTTCATTCCTTTCTATGACTGAATAAAGTCTTCTGTTATGTGGATTCATCACCTATCTGTTCATATGTTGATGGATTTTTTTAGGTTATTTTTAATTTTTGGTTGTTATGAATTATTGCTACTATTAGAGTACAAGTAGGTTCTTTTCAGTTCTTTTTATAACACATATGGGGTGGGATTACTAGGCCATATGGTAATTCTGTGTTTAATAATTTGTGGTCATGTGATAGTTTATTGGTCTTTCACATGTAGTCATGTGTTAACTTTATTGGTCTTCCATAAAAGATGTGTGTTTTACATTGCCACTAGTCATTCATGAGGCTTCAGTTTCTCCATGTTCTTTCCAGTCCATATTTTCTGTTTGTTTACAATAACCACCTAGTGGACATAAAATCATATCTTACTGTAATTTTGACTTGTGTGGCCCTAATGGTTAATGATACTGAACATCTTTTTATTGATTGATCATTTGTGTATTTTCTTTGAGAACTATTTGTTCCATTTTTTTGCGGAGGGGGGGGGACCAGTCTGGCCTTGATCTCACAGGGTCCTGCCTGTGTCTGCTCCCAAGGGCTGGAATTAAAGGCCCGCCCTGTTGTTGTTTCTTTTTTTTTCCCCAGTTCTTGATCAGTTAAGAAGTTCTTTGTCTCATTATTGGATATTCTGAATACTAGACCTTTATCATGTTTATGATTTGAAAATATATTCTCTCATTCTATGAATTGCGTTTTTCTGTCTCTTTGTAACAGGGTTTCACTATGTAGCTCTGGCTGCCCTACAACTTGCTATGTAGACCAGGCTAGCCTGGAACTCACAGAGCTCTGTCTGCTTCTGCCTTCAGAGTGTTGAGATTAAAGGTATGCACCACAGTACCTGTTTTTTTTTTTTCATTCTTTTTTTATGTTTTAAGTTTTAAAATTTGATGAGATTCAGAATATCCATTTTTCTTTTGTCTGTGCTATTGGCATATTTAAGAAAGCACAGCTAAATTACTGTAAAGAGTAAAGCACTCTTGCCTTTACTTCTCCTTCACATCTCCTATTCATGATTCAAGGATGTTTTTTCCCCCTAGAGATAGAGTTATGCAATTTGGGAGTCTTTTAGATAGACCCACTGAAGGGGTACTCCAGTTGCCACACCCTGTGTCCCTGTTCAGCATGGAAGAAGCCAGAGCAGTCTGCATCCTGATTCCCTATTGGCAATTTGGGTAACCTCTTCAGAGGATGGTATGATAATAGGAGGTATGAATTGGCTAGGCAGTTAGGGGTAAAGAAAACCCCCAAAGAAAAGTAGCCAGTTTCTTGGTTAAAACTTACAATGTCCTTTGGCCTCTTAGCAACCTACTCCATTCCAAAGGCCAAAAATGTCAAAAATATTTGGGAGCTTTTATCTAATCCTTAAAAAATTTTAGGGTTACCTCTTCAGAGGGGGAATGTTACAGTAGCCAAAAACCCCATAAAAACCAAATAAATAAAGAAGAAGAAAGAGTACATGAAGTTATCAGAAAAAAAGTGATGGGGAGATATGGGAGGAGTTGGAGGGGAGGGAGTGGGCATGGATTTGATCAAAACACCTTATATGAATGTATGAAATTCTCAATGAAATTTTTTTCTTTTTTTTAAAAAAGCATAGCTAAGGCCAGTATCATGAAGACTGTTATTTTCTTTGTAGAGTGTTACAGCATCTTAGTTTGTAGGTTAGGAGCTGGAGAGATGGCTCAGTGGTTAAGAACACATACTGCTCTTCCATAGTACCCAAGTTCAGGTCCCAGAACCCCTATCCAGGCAGCTTATACTACCTCTAACACCTGCTCCAGGGAATCTGACTTTCTCTTCCTGCTTCAAGGATACCTGCACTCATGTGCATATACCCACACAAAGACTAAGTGCAGCAGTTAAGAACACTGATTGTTCTTGCAGAAGACTCAGGTTTGAATCCCAGCACCACATGGCACCTAACAACTGTCCGTAACTCCAGTTCCAGGGGATCCGACAGTCTCCTTCTGTTCTCAGCAGGCATTGCATGACACAGGTGCACTTACCTCATGTAGGCAATACACACATACACATAAAATAAAAATAATAAAATTTTTTTTTTAATTAAAATGCTTTGTAGGTTAGGTCTTTTATCTACTTTGAGTTAATTTTTATATATGGTGTTTAACTTTCTTTTTTTGTCTTTTTGAGATGGGTCTCCCTGCAGCCCCAGCTGGCCTGGAACTCAATATGTAGACCAGGCTAGCCTTGAACTCACAGAGATCCACCTGCCTCTGCCTCCTGAGTGCTGGGATTAAAGGCGTGCGCCATCACACCTGGCTAACTTTCATTTTTTTATGTTGACTTTTTTTTTCAGCATCATTTATTAAGATCTTTTTCCTTTTCTCCCCTCTTTTTATTTTTATTTTATTTTTTCTCTTTTTACTTTTTTTTTTCTTTTTGTGGCAGTGTCTTACTGTGTAATGTTGGCTGGTTAGAATTTAGTATGTAAACCAAACTAGCCTTGTACTCACAGAGATCCACCTGCCTCTGACTTTCAAGACCATCCTTTCTTTTTTAAAAAATATTTTGTTATGTGTATGAGTGTATTGCCTACATGTGTGTAAGTGCACCCATGTTGTGCAAGGCCCACAGAGGTCAGAAGAGGGCTTCGGATCCCCTGGAACTAGAGTTACAGATGGCTGTTAGCCACCATGTGGGTGCTGGGAATCAAACCCAGGTCCTCTGCAAGAGCAGTCAGCTCTCTTAACCACTGAGCCATCTCTCCAGCCCCCTAAATCTTCTTTATTTCTTACATCAGTAAGTATTGTGTAGTTTTTAGTATAAGACTTTTTTTTTTTTTTTTTTCAGTCTTTTTGAGACAGGCTCACCCTGTAGCCCCAGCTGTCCTGGAACTCACTATGTAGACCAGGCTGGCCTTGAACTCACATAGATCCACCTGCCTCTGCCTCCCGAGTGCTGGGATTAAAGGCATGCGCCACCACGCCTGGCATACTTTCTTTTTTTTCTCTTAATATCTTATTTATTATTTTTATTTTATGTGTAATGAGTGTATCGCCTGCATGTATGTTGTGCAGTGCCATGGAGGTCAGAAGAGGGTGTCGCATTCCCCTGGAACTGGAGTTAAAGATGGTTCATAGCCGCCATGTGGGTTCTGGGAATCGAACCCGGGTGCTCTGCAAGAGCAGTCAGTGCTCTTAACTGCTGAGCCATCTCTCCAGCCCCTAGTGTAAGACTTTCATCTCCTTAGTTAGTATATTATTTGACTTTTCATTACTGTATGAATTCATAGCTTTCACTAGTGTTATGAAGTATTAGTATTATAAAGTTAAATAGACTATCAAGAACAAAGGTTTGTTTAGCTCACAGTTCTGGAGGTTCAAGGGCATGGCACCAGTGTTAGCTGAGTTCTAGTTGGGGCCCTCTTGTCTGTTACATCATAGCAGAATGTAGTTATGGGGTATATGTTGTAGCATCGGAATCCCATTACCAGGCAGGAAACAAGAGAGATGCTTTGTAGACCAGGCTCGGAGTTTTAGAATAATTCTCTTAAAGGAACTAACCAAAGTTTCACAAGAAATACCTTTATTCCTTTTGAGAGAATACCTTCAAATTCTATAAGAACTTCATCATTCCATGGCACCTCCTTAGACTGACATGGTAAGAATGGACTTTTTGGAGGCATACTCAAACATAACAATTAAATTTTATCCCTAAGTATTTTATTCTTATTG